CAATATTCTTGCATGATAATGTACGTATATATAGCAAGAATGTAGTAAGTCCAAAGTTTGGTTCATTTTCTGAACGAAGAGTAGTCAACTCTAGCCTTCTAAAACACAACCATAACCAGAGACAAACCTAGAACAAGAGCAGGTTCAACGAATTCACTAACATTGCTTTCAGCTGCGATCCATATATATAACGCAGTCCGGTGAACAAAGATCCCCGCTTGTGCGAGGAAGGGCGGACCACAAGGGTCTATGGTACGCAGCTTACCCTGCATTTCTGCAAGAGATTGTTTTCACGGCTTAAACCCGTGACCTTCTGGTTACATGACAACAACTTTACCAGTTACGCCAAGGCTCCCCTTACATAATATATACACACATACATATGTCCAAGAATATCCACATTATAGAGATCAGCGACCAGAGAATATGACAAATGACCCACTAGCTGATTGTGGCGGCCAAATTGGGAGCAAAAGGAACAAATGGAAGGTGTCTTTGAAAAAACTGGAAGAAAAAAAAACTGCAATATTAAGTCGCGTACAGCTGAGAATACAGATGCTGGAGTAGAGAAATCCTTGGATTTCAAATGCAATATATTCCAAATCCTTTTTCGTATCTATATTACATCGACCAAGGTAAGAAGATATTCAAGATTAAATTATGAATTTAGCCAGAGAGTTAATTTGTATTTTGTACAGACAACAGAGTCCTACAGATATGATGAAATGGTATACCTGACAGAAACACAAATTTTCAATCAATGCAGAATGGACTTTGCGCCCATCAAGCACTTTATAAAAAAGCAGCAAATACAAAAGAAAATGAGACCAGACCATACACGATCTTGAGAATGGACGTCATGCCAACAACTCATGTTTGTCACTAATCACCAATTTCAGTATCATTAACAACCACCAGTTATCTGAAAGTAGAGGGTCCAAAAAGTCGGTTTACAGAATTTGATATCTGTCAGTGACAAAAACAAAACAGAAAAACTAGCACCTACCTAGCGTAGCCCTCTGTTGAAACTGCATATCATAGTATAACACAGAGGCACTTATTCTGCTTCATGTCATCTGATGCTTTTTTCTCTGTTAAACCAGTGGTTCAATTCAAGCAACAAACATTAGTTCAGAAACATCGAGACAACAAAAGAACACGTATCCTAGAAAGGAAAATGGCAAAAGACACAGGAAAGAACAAAATGAATCAAACATACTATAGAAAATTCAATGTAAATACTGCTTTCAGTTTCGATTCATGTAGATGCCTATTGATATGTTTAGTCAATTTAAGCTGACCTTTCTCTTGTGCTGGTGGTTGAACAACCACATGCATGGTCGTAACTCCTCCTGGAATATCACATAATGGGCTTCTGCACTCACCCACTGTTCTGTTATTTTCCAGTATTCTTCCAGCGCTGATTAACTTGACATCTTTTACTGTCCGCGGACCATTATCCTTCTCTGTTAAATACGATATACGTTTCAGGAAACATGACTTGAAAATCAAGATTGAACCCGGAAATCATCCAAGAATAGATGATAGCAGATATTCTTTGACAAAAAAGACAAACGTGCACAACATTCAGGCAGATTATCTTAATAATATAAAATGCAATTTGAGAAAATTGCTCAATTTCTAAATTGCTAGATTTTTCTTTGCCATTTTAGATTGCATTGCAGCTTAATTGCTGTTGCTTCTTGTTGTTTTTCTATTCATTAATGTTGTGCTTATGCTTTCCTGAGCCGAGTGTCTATTGGAAACAGCCTTTCTATCTCCACAAGGTAAGAGTAAGGTCTACGTACACACTACCCTCCCCACACCCCACTATATTGGATTACACGGGGTATGTTGTTGTATTGCAGCTTAATGCTTTTGAAGTCCTCTCTAAAGCTGAGAATCAGGATTTACTCTATAATTGCTCTGGTGAACTGTGCAAAGCTTAAAGTTCAGTCAAGGTTTTGATGTAGTTAGCACAGTGTGAATGTAATATATCATTCTAAACGATATGAATGATCATACTGCCATCGGAACTTGGTGCTTTGAAAATGTTGGTTTTAAATGAAAGACATGAACGTGCTCAGACTATTTGAACTTGAAAGGCTTGATTAGCCAGAGGTTCATGTCATCTGAACAATCAGAGACTACTATGTCAACTTTCTTAACTAATACTATCTCTTTAGAGAAGCCTAGAACAATCTCAAGAGGAAGTACGCCACTGTTGATTAAAGCTATCTGAATAACACACATGTAAAAATTTCTTTTATTCAAAGTCCCAACAAAATTTCTCTATAGGGGCATAAGTAAAGGAACTATCGAAAGAGCTGGATATCTAACATAAGAACACTACAGATCATAGCCTATGACAATCTAGGCAATTGATATCAATTATCTGAAAGCTCCAAAGTAATTTTGGAGTCTCAACAACCACAATTATGGTTCTCAGAGCAATCAAGCATCCAATAGAAATCTTGAGTAATTGAAAAACTCACACACAATTAACAGTTATTGAAAGACTAAACTAACCTTTAGGCCACTGAGCAAGGATGTTCTCCTTTAAAGTTGCTACGCTTGTAGCCGCAGAAAAACTCCTCGGACCAATGTCTGTTCCATCAATCAATCTAAACTTGATCTCCAGTTGATCTTGAACTGCAGACATCCTTGTTCCAAATTACAAAACAAACCCCAACACAAGGAATCTCACTAAAAGCTGTTCAGCCTTAATTAACACAATTGCAGGAGCTCGCAGGACCAAAGAATTTAGTCTTTGGTTCTTGACACTTTATGGATCTCATCAAACTTCCAAATCCCAGCCTTAAATCTTCAGAAAAAACAAATTATAAATTCACAAGAGACTATCAGATGTCAATATTGACAATATATACATAAAAGCAAGCAAAATTAAATAAATCATAAAACTTGCTTAGATTAGAATATCAAGAAGAGAAAAAACAGAATCAAAATAGAATTTAAACAACAATATGCTATGCAACCAACAAAAGAAATTCAATAATCAATACTGTGAGGTAAAAATAACCAATTAATCACTAAATTTAAGCACCTCAAAAGTCAAATAAGCATTTAAAAATAGAAAATAGTTACAATATCTACTCAAACGACAGACTGGATTAATCAAGTAATCATCAAAGTTATAATTCTGTAAAAAAAAGATTGGATCTTTTACGAAAAAAAAGAAGAAAATTTATGCATGATTGTACTTACTGATAGGAAAAACTGATCTGGAAACTGTCCTCTTTTTAACCAACAAATTAATTTCATATGATTTTCCTCTCAAGGCAAGAGAGAGCTACAAAACTATTCTAGGTAAGAAGAAAAAGAAAGGGTAGGTAATACGTGTAATGCATTAAGAATTTAAAATAAGAAAATAAAATAATATTTTTTATTAATAAGAAGAAAAAGAAAAGGAAAGTGGTGGGGGGGAAAAGAAGAGGGAGAAGATGAAGAAAAATCGGCAGTTTCGGAGTTTTCAAAGTCTTCTTCTTCTCTCTCTCTCTACATCTTCGGTCAATGAAGTAATTCTCTTCTTTGTTCCCTTCGCCTTCTCTTCCTCACTCTATGGAATTATCGACATCTTTTCTTCTTGGAACTTTCCCCTTTTTTGTTTTCTCTTTATTATTATTAGTACAATTATTCTCACTTTTTGTTTTTAAAAGGTAAGTTAATATGTGTAATTGGTAATTTAAGGGTATGACCTACTTGTCTTGTCAATGAAATTGATGTAATTTTGAGACAAAATAAATCAAGCATTAATAAATAAACTTATTTGATACTTGTAATAGACGAAGGTAGTAAATAAAAGAAATAGTCCGTACAAACTTACTTGTTATCATGAGGTGTCGCCCGAGAATGTATCAAACGAGAAGCTTACATTCCAAGATCCATTTGCAAATGAGGTGAGCGAGGATGAAGTGGAAGTCCTGTCGAAGTATGTCTCCCTCGGTAAAAAGTGGGGGATGAAGGTGAATACGGAAATGGAGATCGTCGACATCTTTGACCAACAAGTTCTGTTTTAGTTGAACTGGAAATTGGTTATTTTCTAAAACCTTTCTTTACATAGAAATCTTTATTGCTTCTTTTTATCCTTTGAGTACTTTTAGAGGGATTCTTATCTAATTTAGTTTATTTAATATTCAAAGTTACGAAACATGGCTACACAAAAACAATGCTGGTACGATGCACCATATGAGATTAGTAGCATATTACTTTCCTCGGCAGGATTTATTTATCAATTTCTACTTTGACCACCTAGTGATTCTCACTGTTACTTATCAAACCCATAATAACTACATTAAAACCTTTTTCCCCCAAATTTTGGTTTCACTAATTAATCATATCCGATGATTAGGATAATGCCCTTCATTTTCTAATCTTTCCTTATCACTGTTTACGAGCTAATCTCACCTTAAGAATTTATTAAAAAAGAACAGGTTTTTTTCATTTTTAGCCCGCGTTAGAAATTATTTATATTCAATAGCCGAAAAAATATATAAAATTTGTATAATTTTTTAATATAATATATATATATATATATAAATTTCAGCTATTATTTTGAGAGCGGTTATATAACGTCCGGCTATCTGAAGTGGGATTCTTCCATCCGAGTACAAAACGCGTTGCTTATTGGAGTAGAGTTGACAGGTCCTACAATTCCTCTCACGAACAAAAACATGATCAATAACAGAATATTTAAAGTTAAATAATACAATAATAGAGCAAATAATTATAATACTAGCAGTACAGTTTAATGAGGCTACACACTATTAGTTCACGGGATTAAAATAGTGATCCTCAATCTGTATGTCGATTATTACCTGCTAGTAATCAACTCCCTTGAGGACATATATGCAAATGAAATGTCTTGAAATATCAAACCTCAAGACATGCCAACTTGCCAACCCACGTTAACTGAAGCAAAAAGGTAAGAGTGGAAAACTTTTCTTAAAAAGAATCTGCACATATCAATTGTATATCATGATTCATGAATCATACAAAACAAGTACAAAAATAATAAGCAGGGGAGTTTCCCAACTATGTGAACCAAATTTCCATAGCCTACAGTCTAATATGACCAAGATGATTGAATCAAGAAACGGTAGAAACGTGGAGTAATGANCAAGCCAAGGTTTAGCCTGGCCGTTGTAATGGATTACGGCAGCCTTCTTCACATTATTGACATTGGTCTTATTCTGATAGCCCAAGCCAAGCATGTGCCACGACGGTTCAATTGGGAGAACATGACCCTTGAATGCAATCAAAGCAGGAGGTAGCGTTCCAAGCTTCCACATTGTCAAGTTTGACTTCAGGTTCTACAATGATTAAAAGTTTAACAATATCTACTCAGAATCTAGAGATATTTGATGAGATCAAATCTTTAATAATTAGAACAGCAATAGCAAATGAAGAACCTTTGACCTGAAAAATGTATGAATTCAAATCCTTAATCACTATATTTTTATGTCACAAACGGGAAATAAAAGTAGCATCATAATTACATAAAACTAAGTAGTAGAAATACTGAAGTTTAAGACAAACTCAGTCCTCCTAGACGAACATGTCAATAGAAAAGGCTATATGAGCAACAAAGTGGGCAACTAAGAGACAGACACAAACAGGATTGGCAGAAGAATTACAACGCTCTAGCAAGATCAAAAATCTATCACATCGATGCTGGAACTCAGATGACCGAGGATTCTTTTTTATTTATTTATTTATTTATAACTAAAGATTCTTCTGTTAAATCACAAAGCATAAGAGATCTGCATACCTCTTTAAGCCATGCATGATAAGTATCCGTAATGTTCTTCTTTCTCCATGCACGCAAATCGAAGATATTCATCCCATAAGCCCATGCACAGTCATCAGGGTTCAAATGCTTTGCTATTAGAGGATGAGAAAAATTGAAGTAATTTCTGAATCGCTTAGACATCACCCACTTATCTTCACCTTTACAAGTCTCAACTGCTCCATTGACCTTACCATGTAGGTCAATGTCCCACAAGGGAGATAAATCTTGCTGAATTACAACATCATCATCTAAGAAAACCACTTTGTCAAGGTTTGGGAAGAGCTGCAAAGTACAACACCAGAGAAATCTCACATTGCTATTTGAAAAAGTGAGTGGATATCCACACAATTGCAGGACAGGGGAGCGAATTACATGTAAGATCTAAAGGGGAAAACTACAAACAAAAAAAAGGCAGTTCAGTGCACAAAGCATCCCGCATCCACGCAGGGTCCGAGAAAGAGCCGCACCCCAAGGGGCAGGCAGCCTACCCTGATACAAGTATCAACGGCTGATTCCACGACTCGAACCCGTGGCATGTAGGTCACATGGAGATAACTTTAGTGTTGCTCCAAGTATTGTTGGGAGTAAAGAAAAGGAAACCAAAAAGTATTGTTGCATAAATTCTTACTGAAAAGAAAGAAGTGCTTGGGGATGCCAAACTCGGAGTATTGGCGAGTTTGGCATTTCAATATTATCAGAACAAGAAGAAGATAATAACAAAAGCAAAATCTGATTAAAATTGTGATTCACTCTCCATAAAGAGTAATTAGAGAACTATATAAGAATCTGGGTTGCTAGGGTCTCGTCTTGGATGGAAAGATGATATTGGAACTTTGACTGGCCAATGTGGTTCAGGACAGTCACAAAGAAGAGTTGGCTATTCCATTTATAGGTGCAAATTCTGACATCACCACAGAAAACTTGGTTCTTTCGCTCCTTGCTGACGGAGCAGCATACCGGAAGAAATTGGAAGATCGACGACGGAACGAAGAATGATATTTTATGACAACAACAACAAAGAAGAATTTTATAGGGCTTCCCTGTCGAGAATTAAAGTTTTTCTCTTAGAGAATGAGGCTGAAATCTATCAGCGAATAAGATTCTTGGAGAACCAAGATTACTACAATCTCCCACCCCAGAACAATCCCGGGGACTATGAGCAACTTGTTATGTGTAAAGCAAATGATCTCTGGAGCGGAAAAAAAATCTTAGGCTTTAGCAAAATGAAGAAATACTATCTGCATAAGCATTGGAACACTCAAACCTATAGGCTCTGCTTATATATATGCCTACACAACATTTTAAGCAAGAAGTCTCGATGTCATATAAAATTGGCAAAATTTCATATCATGAGAAATTTGATCAACTTATTTTAGGTTTAGAACAGTAATGCATAAGAACATTCACTAAACTAGGCCTTGTGCATGTTCCTTAAGCTATCCAAAGTTTCTCATTCACATGCTTAACCCTACTGATTGACTCTATTTATATAATGGAAACTTTTTCTCGCCAGGCATTACTTCAATAGACTACAAGAATGTCCATGTGCCTGAGAGAGGAATGGAAGTAGAAAAGACATTGGAATTGCACCCTCCAAAACATACTTAAGAGAAACAGAAGACAGTTTACAGGATATGAGAAAGAGGTACCTCAGGCAAATATATGCGAAGATGATTGAGCAAAGATATATACTTTGGACTTCGAGCCTGCAATTTGGAAGCAAAAGATCGCGGAGTTGTGTCACTGAGATTGGCACCCGTAACATGATTTCCATGGTAGTATTTCCGAATACCATGATGGCTCTCAACTGCTTCAAGCACTGGAACATTTTCTCTTGTCAACCAGTCAAACTGATGAACACCTTTAACCTCCACAAGAGCAGGAGTGACAGGATTCAAAGCAAACCATGAGTGCATGCCAGCATATGTTTTCTTATCAGTGATAACATGGAAAACAATCTTTTCAGGCTTCAGAGATGACTGCAGAGCAGAATTAACAACAACTGAGGCAGCCAAGATGTTATCAGTGGACACTACAAAGTGATGCAATGAATTGTCAGATAGTAGAGGGAGTAGCTCTGGTGACGGCAACTGTCTGCGTGCATGAGCATTTGAGGAGTACTCATCAGTCAACCGCAGCGAAAGACAGTGAATGCCTTTAGGAATTGCACTTGCAGCAAAGTGTTTATTCATCAGCTCTGCAAATTTTGATTCCCTAATATCCCTTTCAGATTTCTCCATCTGCAAAATAGCAAATTCAACACAAAGTTGAGCTAAGAAGGACTATATCTTTCTGCGCCTGTGCACACTAACAACCAAAGTGGGGGTCAGGAAGTAACTCAACCTAATCCCTGGCGCGAGTGTAGAATGCCCAACAGAAAGGCAAGAGCAAAATAAGGCTAGTGGACATGCACACACCAAGTAAATATGTCTTGAAAGAAAGCTAGAGAAGATTTACGGGTACATACCATTCCCTTTAGCATCAAAGCAAATTCTTTTGTGCTGTACTTGTTGTTTTTCATTTCAACAACAAGTTGATTAAATGACTCTGGGAGTTTCAAACCAGCAGGCACTTCCTCAGAGTTCACTTGATTGAGGATCTTAACAAAATCCTTGACCAGCCTCTGCTTAAAGAGCAACAGAGAAGCAATGACATAGAGTTGGGTTAAGAAACAGAATTCCACGTAAAAACTTTGCAACAGATTGGAATGCAACAACAGCAACAAACAATGTAGAATGAAATTTACTTACTCCTGAATCATCAGTTCGTCCAAGAAGCTTTGGTCCTAATCTTCTACCTAAACAATCTGAATACCAAGGAGAAGAAAATGAAATGATATTGTGCAAGAAAAATGGAAGGATAAAAAATATTGAAATGGAACCCTCATAACCATTTGAAGTAAGATTGGGTGACAAAAGGAAACATTAACTAGGAGCATCATAACCAAGACCAACACTGCCAAACAGGGTTCTTGGCACACTGGTACTTCAAAAATTCCCCCACCCACAAATCGTAAAAGGTCCCGCCAAGAAAAGCTTCCTTTTCATTCCGTGGAACAAAAAAATAACATTAGAAGGCATCCAATAACAACTCACAGATGTGATCATAACACGTGATCCAACTGGAACTTGTTATTCAGGATACTTAATGCAACACGCATAAGAAACAAACGTTAACCAGACTCGAGTATACGCATTGGTTACATACTTAAGATAAATAGTAGTAAGCTACATAAATGAGAAGCACTTACTAATTACCATACGTGCAAATTACTAGAAACAACACTAAGCAATTTCATCCCCCTCCCCCTCCCATAAAACACCATGCACTCAGACATCTACAGTCCGGACTCAATCCACACTTTGCTTCCTAATGTGGACCAAAAGTGCATAAACGACTCCTTAATATGAATGGTGGAGCAGGGTAGAGTAAAATTAAACTAATATGTAACCATTGCAAAATCATGTATCGATCTATCCCTTCTCCTTTTCAAGGAGTATTTGTCAACAAATTCAAATCCTTGAGCAAGTTAATGAAAAAAAAAAGTAAGTTCAGCTTTAACTTTCCCCTAATCCCACCCAATCCTAGATATAAAAACAACTCCAATGACATTTCTAATTAGAGCGAAAAATAATAAATTCCAATTCAATTCAAAAAACATCTAAGATAACCAATATCATTCCGCAAAACAAACCACCAACATTGCAACATCAAGCAAAAGAATTAAGTAATTGCATAGAAACACATCAGGATCCGGGAAGTATCTTATAGATTAATAATTAAATGAAAATAAAGGGAAGAGAAAAAACGTACCAAAAGAGGAGCACTTGTTGACACCTTCAAGGGTAACAAGAGCAGTGAGAATGAAGACAAAGGGCAACAAGAAAGCTAAGATAAGAATGGTATGAAAAAGCGTTCGGTAGGAGAAGTGGCGAGCTGCGACCTTGATCTTCATCAAATCCCCAACATACCCTCCATTTCCACTATTGCTGCTGCTCGATATTGTTATACTTCTCATACTAGGTGAGAAGTGCAGCTGCATCTCTTCCTCCCTCCCTGCTTCTCCACCGTAACTTTCTCTGCACCCCTCACTACCCAATCCCAATTCCAATCCACCAAAACTCTGCCCCCCCTAGGGCTTGTTGGATTAAAATTTTTAATATTATTCTCTTTGGAAATTCCTAAACAATCTAAATAAAAAATTCTTTTTCTCACCATCAGATCCAACAACACAGCAATCAAATGATATCGAAACTGGTCTCTTCCGAGACCAATGCATTTGGATATTATCAAAATTTCAGCTCTGCCTCCAAACTCCCACAAAACTACACAAATGTGTGTGTATGAATGTGCGTGCAATGAATCTGGATATGTTAAGGTATGTATCTATTAATTTTTTTTTTGTATGGAATCAATTAATCAATCGAATGAAATAAATTTAAAACAAATTTGGGTTTGGGAAATTGTTGTAACGTTGAAGGAAGAGGATTTGGTATTCTCTTCCTGAGATCGGAAGATTGAATATAGAGAGAGAAAAAAATAAATGGAAAAGCTTTTACACAAAGAGAGAGAAAGAGTACGTGTGTTGTGTTGCATATGTTCTTCCTTTCTAAAATTGATTATTATTATTATTATTATTATTATTAATTCAATTTTTCAGCTGAGAAAATGAAATAGTGACTCGAATTTAGTGAGTAACAAAAAAGTGAGAATAAAAATTGGAAATAACGTGTATATTTTGAGTCAAAACCGTGTGGGCTAGAGAGAGAAAATGCTGAGTGAAAATCTAAGATAGAGAATATGCTGAGCTGGAGAGAGAGAGAGAGAGAGAGTAGCATTGGGTTGCTGATGGTGTTTAAATGGACTTGTCCTAAAATTATGGGATGGAGTATATTATGATCACTTTAATTTTTTTTTATAATATGATTTAATTCGTTATGCTTTGGGTTCAAATATATTCATGTCGTAATATTATTTGTTCAAATATACACATCTTTTATTAAGTTTATCCAGAGTGGACATCAAATCCTGCGTGACACTGATATTTGATGAGATGACTTCAGCACTCCTAATCTATATATAAAAGACTATAATTTGAAATATAATATTTTTCATGATAGTGCCAATTGTGAAGGGAAGAAAATTTTAGTGGTGGCAAAAATAGAAGGGGGAGAGGGTAAACTGGGTTAGGGGCGCTGAGGTGACAAGCAATATGACATCCAACTCATTAAATATTATGCACGTAAGAATAAATATTCATTTAGACAAATTTAACGGAAAAGGAGTATATTTGAACAAATAATAGGACGATAGGGGCATATTTGACTTAAAGTATAACGAAAGATACTTTAAACCTTTTCTAATAGTACAGAGGTATATTTGGCCATTTTCCGTTATTACTATAAATATACGTTTTAAAAAAATTGGTAAATCAATATAGTCTCTACTGATTTAACAAATATGCAACAAGTTAACTAGTAGTAACTACTATCGTCTCTAGTCTCTACGATAATAGTAGTAACACTAAAAAATTTGTTTTGTATCTCATACAACTGACACTAATTGTATTGATACAACTTTTTTGTCTCACAGTTTTGTAAACTCAAATTTTTGTGGGCTCAGAAGTGTAAGATTAAGATCCACAAATTTGTGAAACAAAAAAAAAACCATATAACTAGTGTAAATTGTACGATACACAAAAAAAAAGTTATCGTACTAACACAATAAGTGAGTTTTGCTCAGATGGGGCCTATTAACCTTTTTATTAGTACTGGTGCTCGCTTTTTCGCTTTTTTCATGTGGATCTGAATAATACGAGGCACTAAGCTAAGGAAATGATTGGCAAAGCATACTAAATTCTACGTACATCGAGTATATGTTAATTATTATTCTTTTTCTTTTCTCGAATGCCTATACTCGTATTTACTTTTCAATTGATGGGGTGTTTATATTTCGGTTTAATTTAATTTTCTTGAAAATCGAAACTAAATCAGTTTTTTAATTTTTTTTAATTGTTCGCTCTTTTTGTTTTCGTGAATTTTCTTTTAAAAAATTATTGGCATGTAAATAATTTAGAGGCGGAGTCAGAGTTTGAGGTTTATGGGTTCGAAATTTTATTATTTTAAATTACCGTATTCTAAATTAATAATTTATACACATTCAATAAATTTCTTAAGACAAATGTAAGTGTTGAACCAAAGCTAATGGGTTCAGCCGAATTGAAGGACCGACTCCGCCCATAGTAAATATATAACTGCAATCTAGCTACTAGAATTACGGATAAACTTTCCATAAGATCAATGCATGTCTAGCAAGAATTGAGAGGACGGACAATTCAATTTTGATCTATTGAATTATTTTAACATGAAAGAATCTCTCCAATTGTACATGCAATTTATTACCTTTCTTTTATCTAACTTAAATTCATGTACTATTTCAAGCCTAAATCAAAATCTCTATAACTAAACAGAATAGGCAAATAACTTCTAAAAAAAATCATTATTATAGACGGGAACTCAAGAAAAAACTTAATTAAACAAAGGTCTGTTTCGTTTATTGTTTAAGAATTGTCGATAATACAATATCTCAAAATCTGAAAAGCTATATGAGGATAAATAAATCTTGGCTTGTAAATATAAAATAACAACGAAATTGAAGTATTTAAACAACAGTTGCTAAGAATCAAGTGATCACACACATCAAAATTAAATATGCAAATAAAGAAAAATGATCATATAATAGTCATATAAAATAGAGCATTACGTTTATCACGAATATATCTAGATTATTTTTTTTTAATTATTCTTAGGACAATTATATTTAAATATATTTATATGTCATTTGTCCATTCTATACTAATCAGGGATGCAACCTTGAACGTAGAAGAAGAATTAGTCGTGTAAGGCACGATGCATTAATAGGACTCATGCCATTGAATTTTTGTGTCGGCAATCTTTATGTCAATAATGCAGCGCTAAGCGGCATCTTGAGGATCTTTTATCATTTTCTAACTTATGACTAATGTAAAAATATTTTATAAAATTAAGTTGTTGGGTTTTAAATTACTAATTTATATATATAGAGGCGGATCTAGAATTTTAAGCTTATGGGTTCCTACAACAATCTCAAGTTAATCTACATGATAGCTGGACCAACGAACTGGGTTCCAACCTAAATATTCTTATACTTTTAATAAATTTTTAGTACAAATACATGGTTTATGCAAAAGTTACTGGGTTCACGGGAACCCATATCCTTTTCTCTGGATCCGCCCCTGTATACATATTCAATAAAAAAATTAAAACAAATACAAGATTCAAATCAAAACTACTAGGTTCGACCAAATCGCTCTCGGCACTTTATATAGCTCCGCCCTCGAGTGTACACAATAGAATATAGGTTCGTCTGTAATTTACAAATGTTATAACAATCATGGTTAAAGATTAAATAATTATTATTTTCGTGTAATATTTATTTCTGTAATTACAGTATATGGCAAGCGCAAAACATTGATTGGTTAAACTGTTTTGTTTCTTCTGCTGCTTAGCCCTTGTTGCATAACTTAGGATCACAACTACTTGACGAAAAGCTACAAGACAAGTGCAACATTAACATAAGTAGAGGACCAACAAGTCCCACTTATCCACATGCTATAAACATGGTCCTAAAAGGGGAAACTTAAAAGTAGAACAATCCACAAAACATGGACAAATAGCGAGTCAACACCTATTCTGACAAGCAAATTCTTGTCATAGGTTTAGTTTTTGCGATCTAAATGCAAAATCTAAGCTTGCATAGAGTTAACTTTGTCTACTTTATTAGGTAGCACTGCTCGTGATTATGGATATTTTGTGAATAGTAAAAAAGCAGTAGCAATAAGCAAGCTTTCTTTAACGTTAATAGGAACAATTGTTTAAAAACATCTGCAACCAAAAGCGGATCCAGAATTTAAACTTTTATTGATTCAATCTTTAAAATTCTTAACATTGAATCCGTTATATTTTTAAAATCATGAGTTAAGATGAACACGGTGCGGCTACTTTGCCTCCGCCTCTCTCTAAACCATCCATTAATTCCTAACATGGAAGTGTCTTTGAACTCCTCCCACTACGGCATAGTAACATGTGGGAACAGCATAAACAGAATAATCCCATTATTGTGTTAAATAATGACAGGCACATGGTTCTTCCACAAGGATGCTAGTGACACAAAGTTATGAAAAAAGTCGATTACTTTGTCTATTCATGCTGATGCAGAGATGTTGCTGCTCTATTTTCGGGCTCTAAAGTAGCATGGTTACGGCCAAGAATACTTCTTCGAGGTCACCTAAGCACGGTTGAATCAGCACCAAAAAATCAGAAAAAAGCCTAAGCATGGCCTGTCTTACATGTAGCACACTTTTTTTCTTATATAAAACAAAAGCAAGGATCATACATTAAAAATAAATGAATATACAAATTCTTGGACTTCCGATTCTGCTCCAACAGGTATCACAATCTCACTCAATAGATTCAACCTTTTCTTGCCATAGTGATTAGTGACTCGAGCTATGTGAATTCTTAAAGTTAAATGGTGATTTCAACCAGCTTCAAACTCAGCATGAACAGTGATTGACAGATTGTATAAAACCAATCAACCTAACAATTAAACATCGAGCTGATACGAGGAGCACTGCAGATTTTTAATTAAAATAGCAAAATCGAGGAGGTCATAAGCAGCAGAGTGTAGCACCTGGGCTACCAATTTGGATTGTTGGGAGAAAGAAAAATATAAACGAAGAAAATTAAGCAAATTCTGATTTCATTGATAGATTCCTCCAAATACATTTATCAGGATAAATAAGGATGTTCAGCTAGCTACAACTGTCTTCCTAACAAACTAGTACTATAATTATTGGACACTTGTGTTAGGACCCGGTGGCACTAAACACTACTGCACAGCGGAATAAAATAAATGATCAACGA